AGTGTATATATAGTTTTAAGAGTTGTACATATCAATTTTTTTTTAATTCTTTAATACATAGCTAGTAAATAATTTGTAAAAATAGAGTTATTAGTTAGGTGAACACCACTAGTTGGGAGACATTTTCCTCTCTACAAAATTTGACATGTAATTAAGTTATATACATGTATGTATGATTCATTATTTCTGAAAACTTTCCGACTGTTTTCGGTTGGTTTAAATCATAAATATATTGAGGCAATGACTTTAGCAGTGCCCGGTAGAGTTGATGAGTAATCTAGTCAATTCAAATTTCCTAGGTTTTAATTAATTTTTGTCAGGTTTGCAGGCCTGTGGCACCTGTTTAACTGCCAGGTTTCTCCAAGTCAAAGGCAGGCGATTATTGATCCCTGCCATATTCAAGAAAGATTTCCAAAGATGTTCCAAAGAACAGTTTCACAGTCTCATTCTTAGGATGTGGTAAGCTAACATAATGTTGTCACAAGTAATTTTTCCTTCTCAATTTATAATATGAGAGTCGAAGGGAAAATAAAAGAATTTAGATTTGTGAGAACTAAGTTTTTTCATGTGAGCATGAGATTGAATTCATTCACGAGTTTTCTGCCCAATGCAAAAAAAAATCTAGTGCTCTGCAAACAGCTGGTTCATAAATGAGGCTAAATACAGTGGAACCTCAACTTAACGAACCTCTATTTAACAAAGTCCTTGGTATAACAAGCAATATTCTTCACCCCAGTAATAGTGAAATATATGGAAAAGAACCTCGATACAACAAAACCGCATTATAATGAACATTATTTGCCAGTCCCTTGGCCCTTCATTATATCGAGGTTCCACAGTAGAAAGGATATTAAAAAAGTCAAGTCATGATGGCAAAGTTTATTCTTTCTGTGACAGTAATACAGTAGTTAGTATTTTTATAAATATCCAGTGCTATATATACTTGAGAAATCTGGAGTTTGTTGTTCCTAGTGTGGTAAATGGAGCAATCTTAGCAATAGCTGGGACTACAAGAGTTCTTGTGTCCAAGTTTGTTCTCACATCAGATCATCTTTTGAAATACCTGGAATTACAAGGTGTGTGAGAAACAAGCTTATACCTCATTCATACTATCTGAGACTGAAACATGTTTGGAGTAGACATGTTTACAAGAAACGTGTTTCCCCAGAACATGTTTGTAACTGCATTGTTCACCTAAAGTGCTGCTGATATATTTTTTTTAATTTGTGCAGTTAATTTGATGCCTATTGCATCAAATCTTTAAAATTACACATGAATTGTGAAAATGAAGCTGAGAATTGCTGCTACATTTTTAGTGAGTTATTTCACTTACATGACTTTTCACATTTACGTTTCCTTCACTGCAAACAGCAATGCTTCACAGTTTCATCTTTCAGTCATGTTCAGACTGAACTGGCTGATGTGAACACTATCTTTTGCTGTGAAACATGTTTGATCATTATTTTGCGATCAGACTAAACATGTCTTGGTCTTATGTGAACATAGAATACGTGATCCAAGTCAAAAACAAGAAATCTTGTAGTCCAAGCTATTTCCTAACATAATTCATTCCATGAGAATACCAAACTCTGACTTCAAGAAATGCGTGCATTATAATTAACTTCTTTTTAGGCAAGGTCACATAGGGTCTGTATGACAATCTTCTTATAGGTTTTCTGAATTTGTTTCATTTATTGTTTACTTTAGAATATAATAATCATTCTACTTCCAACACTGGCTGTAAAACATTGTACCAAACTATCACCTGTTTGGACAACTTAAAATAACATTATATTATAACTGTAACAAATGCCCACATGTGAGACTCCTGGATCAAACATTCTTAAATAGCTGACGATTTTAAGACATAGAAAAACTCCCCAATAAGGCCCAAAAACCCAAGATTAAATCTTCGTTTGTTCATAGGTAAGTATACATTTTTGTAATGAGGAAATAATTTTTGCAAATCTCAGGCCCAGTCCACACTATGCAGGAGAAATTTGAAAACACAGCTTTATTTCTACAGTTAGGCCTACCGTACACACTAAAGTCATCACGAAAACAAAGCTTTTCGAGAACATTCATCAAACCAGAGGAATTGAAAACACTGGCCTTGCCTTTAAGTATGGACAGAAAACATTCTGGAAACGGAGGTTTTCAAAAACGATCGATCACAATAATCATGAGATTTTCCTGCCCAGGGTTTCCTCAAACTCAAATCCAAACTGACCAATGATTGATGCATTTTCACATTTCTTCCATGTAGCATGGACGGAGAACATTTGATGCGTTTTCAGATTGTTAACTCCGTTTTCAAATTTCTCTGGCATAGTGTGGATGGCACCTTGCATGAGAAGGGCTGAAAATGTAAAGCAACATAACTGTGTTTACTAACAGACTGGACACCAAGTAACAAGACGGCAGAGAAAAGACAAGAAGTGTCTTTTTTTTTGCACAGAATATTTTCTATTTACATTATCAATACTTATCAATTAAATTAACATCTGGATAAAACGCTCTTGATAACGTTCTTCTTTGAAGTCTTATCTAACTGTTGAACGCCTGTGCTTTGAATGGGTCACATTTTCCTGCAAAACAGAACCACTGCACTGGTTATGGTGTGACAATATAAATTCCTGGTAGGGGTTAACTCCCATATAAAAATGATGGGGAGGGGGGGGGGGCNAGTCCAAGTCAATATTGGGACACAGTTTGTATATCATTCTCATAGAGTGATCAACAGCAAATATCATTCAAACAGTCCCGGGGGGGCTTTGATATAAAAAGGACGGGGGCGCTTGTTGGAAATTTTGAAAAGAACCCCTAAGCCTGTTTTGTGGGTGTGGGCTTGAAATGTTTTTCACTCCTAAGAGGTACATGTACCAATTCTAAAACAACACATTATCTCCTGTCACATTTTTTTGGCTCAATACCCTGAAAGGTACCACTGTGGACCTTTCGAGGCTGCACACCCTAAGAGGTGCCAGACCCATATTTTAACCCCTAGAAGGTACGACAAGCACTCCTGCCCTTTTTATGTGGGAGTTCCCCCAGGCATAAACTGAGCTATTTGGAAGAAAATTGACCTGCACAGAATGTTAACTGAAGACAAAGAATGTTGACCTTTCTCCCTTCATAAGTAAGAGTTCGTTACACTATGCATTCCACCAACCGCATCTTGGCAACAAATCATGTTTTAAGCTTCCCACTTTCAAAAAAAGTGGCTGAATTGCCAGTGGGATTGAGTGTATTAAATAGAAGGGCACAGTCTGAAGAAAGCCAGTTGATGTCTTGGTGATCAAAGACAAACTTTTCCAAATGGCATCATGGTTTTGGATAACTTGATACATTCACAGAAAAATCGCAAAGATGGTGCAAACTGGGGCAGGTCTAGGGGTGGTTCACCAGGTTCACTTGAATCCGAACCCCCTAAATTAAAAAAAACGAGACATTATAACACACTGACTTAGCCTCAGAATGCTGGAAATCCCATATCCAAGGACCTCCTAGGCTGGATTACCAGCCGCTGTTCGGGAAAAGAGCCCGCGCTCCTCCCCCGAACTCACAGCTGGACTCATGGACTTGACATTGTTAATTTCAACCAATAAGAAATCTGCCTGCCTGAATCGAGCAGGCTGCATAGATTAGCTTTCTCGCAGTAGCAAAGAAGTTGTGCAATATGAAGTGCGATCTTATTAGTGGGACATTTAACCAAATACCGTCAAATGGTGAAATCTTGCCTGATGTAAACCATAGTGGCATATACAACACGCAAAATAGTCAACAGACTTATGCGTTAGAATCTATATTTGAATCATGTGGCACCAGAATGTCAGATAATGAACAAAGTCAACAAAGAGAGGGATGAACGCAGACATCGATCTCAAGAAAGAAAACACTCAGTCAAATTGATGTGTATGGTAGTCTTCTTGACGGGAAGCAACACCAGTCTCTGGCAAGGCCAGACAAAATTAAATTTTTAAATGAGCCAAAGCAAACCGAACTAAACATGGCCCAGGAAACATGGTGTCAACACCATGCACACCATACGACATACGTGTGACCTTTGACATGACAGTTGCTACACCATAGTCAAACAGCTCTGTTCTACTATTTTTTTTTTTTTTAAAAAAACTCTTCTACAGGACATAGCATGTAATGCCCTTCCGCAACAATAATGTGTAACAAAATAGATTGGAGGGCCAAAATTAAAAGAGGAAGTGGCGAAAACGCCACAAATTTTACGAACTGTAGGTGTCATGTGGGCCTGCCTATGATTGTCATCAGATGACATTTCCGGCCACCTGAAGCGCCGCAAGAATTACATTATGAAGTTACGTCACAGACATGCTTTGGCGCTCGCACGTCCAGCCGTCTCTTCTCGGGGAGGAACGTAGACCGGACTCAAGAAAGCGGCGGAAATCAAGCCTAAGGACCTCCATTTTATAAAATTTTCTAGGGGAGAATGCCCCCGGCACCCCCATACAGAGAGACAACCTTTCAATGGTCCATATCTGGAACCTCTTCTCTAAAATCCTGTAACCACCCCAGGCAAGGAATTGTACAACAGAGTTTTAAATATGCAACTTAAATGAATACAGGGTGCACCTACCAGTTTCCACTGAAGAATTTTAATCCATTCGTCGGCTTCTTGTGTGGAATTGGCATAACAGAAAAACGTTCTGTACGGCATGACAATCCTACAAGCAAAGATAAAACATGAATAGCTGGCACACAAAAATAACAGGATGAACTTGTTGTAAGATACTCTGCAGCCTGCAAGAAGGCTCTCATTGTTGGCATCATCAGTGAGCAAAGCGAGCTGTTGAGGGCCCTGGTACAGGTATGGCCCCTCACACTCGTTGACTCATCTCTCACAACTTCGCTCATCAACTTTGGTCCTGCCGCTCCTGCCACGATGCATGGCCGTTCAAGGCTGAACACCCTAAGAGATACCAAAGCTACAAGCACCCCCGTCTTTTTTATATGGGAGTTCCCCCCCCCCTGCCCCACACCAGAAGCCTACACATTGCATGACAAGCCTTGAGAAGGAAACTGCTGAATGGTTAAATCAAGCTCACCTGAAGCAATTTCCTTTTCCTAGTGAATCGTCTCTTGCAACTTCTTGGCAGTCTTCAAGGTCTATTGTTTTAATAGGTTCTTTGTCCTGGAATACAAATTCAAACAAGTCAAAGAGAAAGAGACCACTAGTTAACTGGTAAAAACAAATTTAAACATTATAGGGGAGATATTTGAAATTACAAGCACTGCATTGTTATTACAATTTCCAGGCAATAAAACAAAAGAGCTTTTTGCTTCAGCAACAATAGGTGATGTCACTGTTATATTCGCTATCATGTGCTGGCTACCCAAACGGAAACCAAGAATTTGCCAAGCTGCCCTTATGGCAACACTATTTCCTGTTCATATGTTGCAAAGAAGTGAAGCACTGTTGGGGTGACACATGTGTCCTGCCCAAGAACACAAAATGGATCAAGCAGTCCAGATTTAAGTCCTGGCCAGGTACATTGTGTTTTGTTCTTGGGCAAAACACTTTACTCTATCAGTGTCTCTATCCACCCAGGTGTATAAATAAGCACCGGCGAATGTAAAGCTGGGGGTAACCCTGCAATGGATGAGCATCCCATCCAGGGGGGAGTAGAAATATTCCTAGTCGCTTCATGCTACTGAAACCAGGATAAGGAACACAAACCTATGGGCCACTTAGCTTGTATGGAGACTTAGAAGTGAATGGGAGGTGTTTTGGTATAATTATGCCATGTAATCCGGAGGTAGAATCTATAGGCCAATTTCTCTATATTTAAATTCAAACTTAGCTCTGAACCTGAGGGAATGAAAAAAGCTGCTTCACTCCCCATAGCTTCAGATTTAACTTAGTTAACTTAAGATTTTGATATAGGAGGTGCGGTGGCCTCATGGTTAGTGCATTCGTTCCCAAAGCGAGCGGCCCAGGTTCGAGTACTGGCCATGGACACTGTTGTGTTCTTGGGCAAGACACTTAATTCTCACAATGCCTCTCTCCACCCAGGAGTACAAATGGGTACTGGCAAATTGTCGGGGAAACCTAACAAATTGCGGGGGAGGGGCTTGCAATGGATTAGCATCCCATCCAGGGGGAGTAGAAATACTCCAAGCCGCTTCATGCTACAGTAACTGGGATAAACTTCAGCAGCTATGAACTATTTGGCTCCAAGGCTTCTTAAATAATTAAGATTTTGATATCAAAAAAATAGTCGATTATAATTTCAGAAAAGAAGGTCTTTGAAGTCCATACTCACCCCTTTTGTCTTATAGTACTTCAGTTCATTCTTCAAAAGCACAAACCATCTTGTTTTCCAGTTCTGCTAAACAGTATCAAATGATATTATTCACTACAAAACAATAACATATGATAACAACACAGAGATATCCTTATTGATCACTTCCTTTTGGGGCCATAAAGTCATTAAGTGCGGATCAAACTTTCAGACAAATCTTATTCATTGGATGACTCTAGCACTATAATGTACCATAAGTTTTATTGTTATACCGCCAAACTCAACATTTGCATTTTTCAATTGGAGGAGAATGTGTCATGTGTCATTGGTCAAAACTCACAAACAGGTAATTCCCTAGGGCAAACAAAACTCACCACCTCACTAAAGAAACAACAACTTGAACTTTCAAGTCACACCTAATCAAGTCATGCTCCTTGAAACCACAGAAAATTTGTGTGCCAGCCAGCAACAAGAAAAAAAAAATTCTGAGTTGGGACGTATGACAAAACACTTAATGACTGGCTCCGCTGAAGACAGTGAGTTTCGTTGTTGTTTCCCCTCGACCTCAATGTTCAAGGGGATACATCAAGGGTCTGGAGTCAACAAAACTCACTGGTTCCCTTAGTGCCACTCATTAAGTGCTTATCAACTAATGTTCATCTGTACATCTACATTTGAGTTCGTAGGTTAAGTTGTTAGACGTCACAACAATGTTAAAAACATTACAAACAGTTGATTAAGAACAATAGAAATAGATCTATAGCTACTCAGACATAATACAGTAAATAAACAAATAAAATAGGGACATAACTAAAATACAAAAAATTACTCAGTCAGTAAAATACTTTGAAATCTTAGTCTTAAATGTCTCCAAAGAACTTATTATTTTACATAGTGTTTATACAGTTTAGCCATTAATGACTGCTACTATGTTATATGATTATTATTAACATAATCAATAAAACTGTGGTTATCTAAATTTATAGAGGGTGCCTGCTTGCATAACTCAATAAAATGAAAAGCAATAGGTAAATGGCAAAGCTCCCACTGACACAACTGTTGTAATGAGTATTTCTTTTTTCACCCTTACTCTTGGCAAGATAATTTTTTGTTCACTTTCAAAATAGAAAATAGTATATTAAGTCTTTTCATCATTTACATCTGTGTGAATTTTCTTGCCCCACAATCCATGCTGCACACGCACAAGTTGAGCTGTAAAACCATCCTTTAACCATTAACCACAAAGAACTCCCGTGCCCAGCAGTTGGGACACTAGAATTGGGTGTCGTGCTATAAAAAATATCATTTTACTTATTTTTACACCCTGTATGTGAAATTGGTTTGCTCAAAAACTTCATTATGAATTGTTAAATCTGTTTTTTTTTTTACCTTCACTTTACCGCCAAGTTTAGTAAGATATCCTTCTTTTGATCCAAACTAGAAAAAAAGCGGCCACACAACATTAAAAAATATATATTAAGTAATGGTTCAGGTAACATGTAACATGTATCTTTTATTTTAATTTTATTTTATTTTTATTTTATAACTTTATTTGTATATCTATGCATGTGAATATATGAAAGATGATTTATTTGAACTGAAGAGAAAGAAGTGAAGACATAAAACGATTTTTGCAGATATGTACACAACTTAAGAAGCTGTGAATATAAAGCCTGAAAAAAAAATCAGGCTTGAACAGGATTCAGACTCGTGACCTCAGCTATACCAGTGTAGTGCTCTAACAACTGAGCTATCAAGCCAACTGGGAGCTGGTGACGTTGTGAGTTCGTAATATACCCATAGAAGGAAAGTGAATGTATGCATGCAATGATCATACATGTAATTAACTATGACATGTGTATTAAATTTTGATGATCTTTCAACAGTTTCAACTTACAGAATGTACATTATCATCCACGCTGTTTTCCATGCTACTCTTTCTGTTTTTTCCCCATTCTGCATGTACCCTGACTTTCTCATATGTCGCTGGTTCTTCAATATCCCTGGGATACGGATATTTCAATAATGTCAAGACCCCTAACAGAGGCAAGAGCAAATAGATGCATCACATTAGTTGACCAAGATTACACACGGAGCAAAGAAAACCAATTTTTGGGCTTGACCTTTGGGCAAGCTGTAATTATGATGTACTCATTAGCAGGGCCACAGCCACAAAAAAAAAAAAATCATGACTGAGGCAATGTCCACTTAAAAGTTACGACTGACACGACGTCCAAGGTTATACACATTTTCTTCTAAGGTATTTCGGGGGTTTATGATGACTGTAAACATCAAAAATGAAAAAAAGTGTCTTGTTTGCCAATTACTAGCTACAGCTCTGACCAGCCCAAATCATTCTTACTAGCACCAAAAAATTACATCTCATATGCACTGTTAGTAATTCTTCAGTTTAAGCATGCAACCTGACATTTTTCTGCTTTTCCCAGGATGGGATACTAATCCATTGCAAGGTTATGCCCCACCATTAAATTCAGCAATACCCAAATATACACCTAGGTGAAAAGAGGCGCTACAGTTTGTATGAGAGTAACCAAAGTGTCTTGCCAAGAACACGAAGCAGTGAACACAACTAGGGCACACAGTGCCTTAACTCACCAACGAGGGTGAAAGGGACAACTCTGTAATGGCCTAGCACCATCTAGTAGAAGGGCATGTTTAATACTCATAGTTTCATGCTATGGAAACCAGAGACAAGCACAGGCCTGGCTCCAATTTTTCAATGCCGATACTTTGATTAGTGCTGCAACGATACACCGATGCACCGGTGAATCACTATTTTTTTGTCACAATACAAATATCGATATTACGACAAGATGTCACAATATTATAATATTGTAATTCTTGACGAATAAAAAATTCAACATTCAGAAATAACTGTGAGTCTTTTATGACTCCTTACCCAAGTCCAAGTCCCTTCAGAGCTAATTATTAAACAAAGGGACCCAGGAAAGGGGAAAAAAGTTCCATCTTTGCTTTGTATTGCTTTGCCTGCTTCCGGTCATGTATCTTTCAAGATGGCGGCACAAAAGCATGCTCAGTTCCAATTAGTTGTCAGCTGACACAGTCTTGTGCGCCCATGGACAAAACCCATGGTTCGTCCGTTCATGGTTTGTTATAAATGGAAATAATGATTTCAAAACAGTTAAGTAAGAACAAGGTTACCTTATCTGTCAGTTGTATGTAATGATGTATAGTATGATGTATCGTATCGTGGCACTTGTAGCGAGATATATATCGTATCGTGAGAATTTGTTTTGTTGCAGCCCTAACTTTGATCACCTTTATTAGTTTCTTAAAATCTTATTGAAAGATTTCTTTAAAAGGTGTTTTACTCACCAGAATCACCTCCAATCAAAGGNGTTTAATACTCATAGCTGCTTCATGCTATGGAAACCAGAGACAAGCACAGGCCTGGCTCCAATTTTTCAACGCCAATAATTTGATTAGTGCTGCAACGATACACCAATGCACAGACTGGTGAATCGCTATTTTTTTGTCACAATACAAATATCGATATTACAACAAGATGTTGCGATATTATAACATTGTGATTCTTGACGAATCAAAAATTCAACATTCAGAAATAACTGTCTTTTATGACTCCTTACCCAAGTCCAAGCCCCTTCAGAGCCAATTATTAAACAAAGGGACCCAGAAAAGGGAAAAAAAGTTCCATCTATGCTTTGTATTGCTTTGCCTGCTTTCAGTCATGCATCTTTCAAGATGGCAGCACAAAAGCATGTGCAGTTCCAATTAGTTGTCAGCTGACACAGTCTTGTGCACCCATGGACAAAACACATGGTTCATCCGTTCATGGTTTGTTATAAATGGAAATAATGATTTCAAAACAGTTAAGTAAGAACAAGTTTATGTCACCTGTCAGTTGTATGTAATGATGTATAGTATCATGCATCGTATCGTGGCATCGTGAGAATTTGTTTTGTTGCAGCCCTAACTTTGATCACCTTTATTAGTTTCTTAAAATCTTATTGAAAGATTTCTTTAAAAGGTGTTTTACTCACCAGAATCACCTCCAATCAAAGGCTTGTTTTCAAAATGTTCAACAAACTCACTGATGTTTGAGAATGACCCCATTCCAAATTTAAACTGTGTGCCATCCCAGCTAATATGAAAATGTTTCACTGAGCTAGCACATCTAAAACAAATTAAAGGTTGAAATGAAAATTCTTGTTAGACATCCAGTAGAAAATGTGCTGATAATGAAAGAAGAAACAAAATGCTGATCAGTAAAGATTTAATTCATTAAGAAATACAAAGCACATTTTCCCTGTTTCTATCAAGTTTCGGTATAAATCTGCTAGCATTCTATCACCAATGCTGTACTCTGATTGGCTACGCTACTCACTATCTATTCTGTTTTAGATGGTAATTAATGTACAAGTATAACATAAAAGTTGACTCAGCCTGCCACTCATCAACTATCACATGATAGAATTCTCAAGCTCATAATCGAATTATTAATAAAAACACAGCCAAAGGAATTTGGGAGAACAAGAAATGCTATGGGAATGAGAGACAGGGCCACAGAAAAAAAAGAAGGAAGAAAAAAAAGCAAATGAATTGTTTATTTTGTTGATTGTAATATTTATGAAAAATTTGGCTTGCTTAGCTCATAAGACCAAAACCTCCATACCTCATGCTAGTATTGTGTTTCTATATGTAGTATTATAAACACAGCTCTTAGTGTGAGTATTCTTAGAGTGTTTCCTAATAATAGCAATAACAATGAGAATGAGAATGTCAATGACAATGACAATGACAGTGACAATGACGGTGGCGGTGGTGGTGGCGGCAGCGGCGGCAGCGGCGGCAGTGGCGGCGGCAGTGGCAGTGGCGGTGACGGTGACGGTGATGATGATGATGATGATGATGATGATGACAATGATAATAATAATAATAATAATAATAATATAATACAGAGTCCTGATATATTATTGATATACATGTAACAAGGCTGTGCTCTAGAAATGCCCACGTACCACAGGTAACTAACTTTTGACTTTGGGCAACTGTAAAAACACACGTTTTTCATATGAGCTTAAGCACTGGGCACCCAGGATTTCATTGTTAGGAACCTTTGTGCTTCTCGCATTTTTTCTTAGACCACAGCCTTGTAAAAATTGCATTTAAATTACCAATATCAGAGATCTAACTGTTCTGTAAATACCTCACTGAGAGAGAATATTCTCCAGGACTAGATGAACTTGCTCTCAGCAAGTAACTTCCATCCTTTCCGTTTGCCATTAACAATCCCTCTGCCACATGACGACTTATGTTATAGTGATACCAACTGCAACATAATCAACAGATCAAATAATGATCATACGTTGTGCATTGAGATTATTGTCCGTCACGAGAACTCCGGCGGGAGACTCCCATGTGAAAAACAGTTGGGGATGCTTGTTGTCGAATTTGAATTAAACCCCTAAAGTAGATCAATCTTGATGTAGCTTAAGCATCATTTGACTCACACACAACATTATTATTCTATGGAGAAAAACACTAAAAGATACAGGTACCTTACTGGGTAAAAATAGTGGCCTTTCATTCTAAATACCCTAAAGTGAGACCAAAGTCTGTGATTTTCACCCCTAAGCAAGCATCCCCGACCTTTTCACATGGCAGTTCCCTGGGCAAGTAATAATCACAATCAGCCCCGCACCCTCCACTCCCAGACTGATTGCTTGGAGTACATACATATATACATACATGTAAATTATTGTTGCTGCCTAAAATGGGCTTTTCAGTACCAATGTTACAAATGAACCTGAGCTCTGAGACTTAAGTCCAATATATCAAGACAATGTCCTCAGTTTGATCATTTTCTATATTCTTACTACCTACATGCTTAACAATGTATTAATTATTGTAAGGTGAATTTAATGGTTGATATACTGAGCAAGTGCATTGTTTAACTTTAAAGGAAATAAAACCACTGTTTAGTACATAGGGCCACTTGCAAACAACATACAATTGACCCTTGTTACAAAGGCCGCTATGAGGCTCAATAACATGTACAGAGGTAGCTGTTGTTAATGGTAAAAAGCTGTTAACAGTAAAAAGTATAGATTTGTATGCAGTCTGGACAAAAAGTTGCCACGGTGGAGAGGTAACTGCTAGTATGAAGTGGTCGTTAGGGGAGTTGCAACGGTATTAATGAAGAGCAAGTGTATAATTTAAATGTTTATTAAGACATGATTGATCATCGCAGTCATGCCTTTATGCCTTTATCTGCAGTTCAAATACGTGATCTTTCATATATTCACAACCCACAACACTTTTCCCACCAGATCACGGAGCTACAGGGGGCTTGTGGCATACTAAACTCACTACTAATGGAAAGCTAAAAAAAAAATGATTCACTTCTCATTTTCATCAACACCAAACATTTATAACTGATTCCAACATTACATCTAGTTGCACAAGGTAAAATTCGCTTAAAAGAACTGTAAAAAAATATGAAGAAAAACAATAACAAGATTTTTGTGGTGGGTTAAGGTTCAGTAGTCTCATAATAAAAAAAAATCGCAATAATTTTTACAAAAAAGACTCAAGTATGTGAATTTAGATTATTAACGATATTTAATGTTTTATACATTGTGTTATCTACATATATTGGAATATCAATATTCAAGCTTCACAAGATAACAAATAAACAAAAGAATTACTGATATATTTTACTGGACATAGTGACATTTTTGGGCCATTTTATCACGAACGTTATAAGAAATTAGGAAACCTCTGATAAATTTAGCTCGGACATGTAAAATACGAAGGTTAAGATGCCGATCGAGATAACACATTTTCAATAAAACGAGAAGATGTGAAAACATTTCATCTGTACTGCATTAAGCTTGTACATACTTTACAGTAATAATATTTTAGCACCGGATAAATTTCCTTCGTTTCAAAATATTCGCTACTAAGGCTGGAGGTCAGAGAATGACTTAAAGAATGAAGAAGTTACTGCAATGGCTGCACTGAAATATAGCTTTATACTTGAGCTTAAATTTGGCAGGTGGCATTACACCTAGACAGACTAAGTTCACATCGACCATAAACCACGAAATTTTAACTTTTTTTCAGTGCGGCTGAAGAGTCCCCTCCGAAAATACACCTTTATCGAATAAACATCGAAAACTAGACCACACATTTTTTTCTCTAAAAGCAGGCTAAACTGCAGTCATTGAAGAACGAGGCAAAAAATTGAAAGACAGTCACGTACATAAAGGAAACAAAGGCAATATACACAATCGACCCTGTATGGATAAATTTCATTCTAGAGATTACCATAAAGTGTTCGACGTGCTTCATTAATAAACTTTAAACTACCTAGAATAGATTCTAACCTGAGTTGTTCTACCTCTGCGCTCTCGCAGTGCAAATGGTCGGCCATCTTTGTTACCTCTAACGCTCTGTCAAAGAAAGCTTTCAAATAAATCCCCTCAGGGGATCCCAGGAGATTTCCGCCTTTGACGTCAACTACTACCAGGTGGGGGAGAGAGGGCAGGAGTGTCTTTGTGCAAAACGTCCGGGCGGAAATTGCAAAAAAGTATGAAGGATGTTCATTTTTCAACAATTTATATTCTATCGTTGTCATTGGCTTTGAAAAGAGGTATTCCGTAATTTTACGTTCAGTTTAAAACTTTAAGTTCACTTTCTCAGTTTTAGCTTTGGCGGGAAAACTAAGGAGTTCGCAACTAAAGGAAAATTTCCTATTCCTTTAACAACGAAGCTTATTGTCCTTATTATTACTATAACGCCTTAGTTCGTCCTTAGTGCCTCTTAGTGCAAGTGAAAACCATCTACGTCATAGTTTACGCAGCTTGAAAAGTTTAGCCTAAAGTTCGTGGTGAAAAACTGTTCATTTAACTAATTTATCCATTTAACTGTTCATTTACGGTCTCTTGATATAAATCTCTCTACAGAGAGAGCGAAAACCTTGGAAAAAGATGAAAAGAAAAGTGACCGAGAAAGCAAGTGTTCAACAAACCACTGTCACACCTTAAGACCGCACCGTTGTTTAATCTCGCCTTTTAATTAAAACTATTCATTTCGATATATTAAAATTCAACCTAACACAATAAACCTCAGCACGAGGCTCTGGGGAATAGACAGCAGGCCACAAACTCTGCAGTTATTCCCCGGAGCCTCGTACTGAGTTCTATTAATTTAGGCTGAATTTTAATATATCGAAATTGGTCTTTTGTGGATTCTTTATTTTTCAACAAGCTGTTTTGTCATCAACCTCGTTCCTAGGGACTCTACTCTTGCAGCCCTTGGGAACGAAGTTGTTTTGTCACAAGTTTGACATCACGAAAGGGTGGAAGCAGTACAGCAACCTCGTTCCCATGGTCCTCTCTCTACCTCGAGAGAGAGGACCCTGGGAACGAGGTTGTGGAAACAGTGCCGGGCAGATCTGTGTGGCACAGAAACTAAACCAAAGTCAAAACAAGTAATGGAGTTAACATCGCCAGGTGTTTTCCTGTCACCCACTGACGCATCCAGGTGTTTGACTAACAGAGCATAATAACAAGAAGTCAGTTGTCAAAGCAAGTCCTATAAATATGTTCGAAATTTGTTTTAATTTTCTTTTTTTTTTTTTTTTCCGAAGTGTCAGGTCTGAGCTTAGGCCCCGTCCATGCTACACCAGCTGTATTATCACAGCAGCTGTATTATTACGATCAGGCCGACGGTCAAAACCGATCCGGATAAACTGTCCACCGAAAACGCAGAAATTTTTTTAGTATGGACACTATGATGTGGACGGGCAACATTTTGAAAACGGAGCCTTTAGGCGAAAACTACAATGTCGCGATAATCATGTGATTTACCCTAGCCCTCACCCAGGATACGCTGAAGTGTTTCTGCCGCCGGTGTTTGTTGCGTTTTCAAATTTCTCCGGACCGTGTTGTGTGGACGGAAAACATTTGATGCGCCTTCAGAGTTAAAGCGCCGCATTCGAATTTCTCTTGCGTGTCTTCTCAAACCTGAGCTCCTCGCTATCTTCATGTGTCGAGCGACCTATACCTACATAGAGAAGTGTTCTTTAATTTTGTTCTTCGTCGAGCGATTTTGATCCTCTGAACGAGCACCACATTTTTTATGCTCTCTTAATAATAAAAATACAATTCATTAAACCAAACATCAGCTGACAAACATTCTTTTTGTTTTATAACAATCAGTTTCATTAGCATACTGGGGTTGAAATTGGCAAAATTTTAATTTTAAGCAATAGAACACTTTTTCCGTGTTTACATAGTCTCATCTCAACACGAGGAGCGTTCGGAGAATTCGAGACAGACTACGTCTCGGGTTTGCATAACTTTCGAGAATTCTCCCAACCCCCGAGTGTTTAGATGAGGCTATGTAAACACGGAAAAAGTGCTCTATTGCTTTTATGAAATAATTCTCAAAAATATGTGCAAAACTAAAACGTCACAACTGTGTTTATATACTCTCATCTAAACACACCTATCGACCAATGAGAGCGCGCGTAGTACCTCAGTTATTTATAAAAGATCATGTATAAAATATACTCATGACTTTCGAGATTTTCCGCGCTCTACTAAATTACGTTTCTATATTCGCTAGAAAGCATGATTCCGCAAAACAATTTGACACATTATAAAGACAACGACAACTGGCGCAAAAAGAAACGAAACTAATAGGTCTAAGATCTGAAAGTTAATGTCTAGCTGCTCAATATAGATAGGACTGAAGAAAGGTGGCAGTTTCTAAAGAAACTGTTGGACTACATCGGCGAGCGACTAAAACACTCAGCTATAGTGGAGGTGGCTGATGGCGGACATTTGCCGAGCTGCATTTTTCCAGTTGATTAACAGTTGTTTACTTTCTTTACCCTTTCTGTAAGTAGTGAATATTGTAACAAAGCATTGAAACGCTTTTACTTTCAAAAACAAAAATGATTTAAATGAGACAGTTGTACCAAAATCCACAAGTCGAACCTTTCCATGACGGCCGCCATGGGACGGAGGAAGGCGGCTGTTGTAGAGAGGAGGTCGTTACGGGTAGGTTGGGGTGAAATATCTTTTCACACATTTTTCATCTTTAAAATATGCTTATTTTGGCATATTGATAAGTAACGCAATTAAGGAGGCTGGTAAAAAAAAATTAAGGTGCCTCTGAACCCCTCTACAAAATTTTTTTAAACTTTGTAAAAAGTTGCATCTTGTCATGCTCATCACAATTCGATAATAAAAAAATAGGGGTCACCTAGCTCGTTTCTGAGTTATAAGCACCTAAAGCTAAAGTTAAGGGAGTTTTTAACAGGTTTTATTGTTGCTATTTTAACCTGTTATATGTATAAAGGATGACCGCGACTTGCAATTGTTTCACAATGATTGTGCAATTGTCTAATATCATTATTGTGGCGTCACTTGACAAACAATGATAGCATTCATCCTTCAAAGTGTAGCTGTTAGAAAAGTGCTGGAAAATGTTGCCAGCCTCCTTAAGATATATCAATAAAACAGAAGCAAGACACCAACGACGCACGGTACGATCAAGTTTCGTTACCTTCATAAAAAAAAGCGCCCCCTAATGGCCATAGTGCTGAGGTAGCCGTTAGCATAGGTTCGACGGTACTATTGAATGAGTGCTGAAGTTTATATGAAATAATTCATATATGAACTGCGGTTGTAGATGAAAGTGAAGAATGATCATCGCAGTAAATTTTCCAATTTAAGCAACTGGAAAGAAGAAGCCTGAAAAAAAAAAAAATCAGG